GTATTTGTCTGCTTGCTTATTTGCTTGTCTGAGCACCTCAAATGTCTTGTATCTTTGCTGGCACCAAATTCATTGCACCATTTTGTTAATCATTTCACATCATCTTCTTCTTTCAATGCCGCTTTTTAGTTCAGCGATGAAGTCCAGTCCAGTCCAGTCCAGTCCAGTCCATTCTGCTCAAGTGAAGCTCATAGGCTCAGTCGTTACACAGTGAAACATTTGGAAAGCTTGGAGCCTAAGTTGCCTGGCATCGAGGCTGAAAGAGGCTAGAAAGTGAAAGTGCTTACCGAAGCAATAGGGATCTGCGACTACTGCAAAGTCGATATTTGGAAGTGTTAGGAACTCTGGCTGAAACGACGGGTGAACTCGAGAATCGAGAAAGAGCTGCTAATTACAGTCACAAAGGAGAATTTTTTGAGTCACATGTCGAGATAGATCATCAAGACGAGTTTGTAAAATATGAGCGGAGAGGAGTCAAGTCCTTCTAAACGTCGTCGGCTGGAGTCTCCGGAGGCTCGGGAAATGAACTTACAGGAGGTAACAAAATATTGAGATATCACTTAATTTAGATTTCTCAATCAGCATCACTGGCTGTTTCATCCAAAGTTATGTTTCTGTATGCTTTTGAGATTTATTTTGAAGTTTCTAAGATAATTAAGGAGATCTGTTACCTTCGCAGTATTCATGGACACCGTTTTCGAAAACGGACTTGAACATGACAGGAAAATAAAAATCAAGTCGTGTTTCAGAGCTTTTCAGTTAATTGGTGCATAATTTCCGTTGATATCAAGGTAGTCATCAGATTTCAATAAAACTTCAAAGAGTTTATCCCTTAACTTTATACGGAAGGTGGATTTTGGCAATTTTTTTATATCTGAGGGTAGAGAATTCCAGATTTTTCGACCAATTCTTTGGAAAGAATGACGAAATTTTTCAGGCCTTGAGTGTTCGGTCTAAAAATTATCATTGAATGGCGAACTCTGCCGTCCTTAAGTTGTAGGGTGAGCAATGCGTGTGAAATAGCTCGCATATTTTGATGGGGCATAGTTAAATTGTTTCACCCTTTACATAAAGATAGCGATATCTTGCAGTCTTCTGTTCTGAAGCGTCGTTAGATCACTTTTATCCAGCAATGCTTGGTAGAATGATTGCTTATTTTACTGATTGAGGGAATTTGTTCAAACATCAAGACATTTCATCTTTTCACATTTGATCAGGCATAGATGCTGGTCACAGTCGGGGCTTAGAGGGTTAATTTAGATTTCTCAGTCAGCATCACAGACTCTCTCATCCAGCGTCATGTTTCTGTATTCTTTTGAGATTCATTTTTTACAAGAAAATAATTGGAGATCTTAGTTTGACGGTACAGTATTGAA